GGCATCTTAGGCGAGAATTCATGTATTGTATGTACACGCATAGTGTTACTGTACGCACCACTGACAACGCTGCATTCTATACGAATGATATTCACGTTGATAATCTTAATCGGTGCGTCCGATTCGTACTATCGATGCGGTTATAATATACGACTCGATGAGAATCCCAAAAGCGAGCCAATATTGTTTGGTTTGCTAAAATTTATTCTATAAGCACATTTTATTTCACTCCTCATCGTATTATTATTGGCACGAATTATTATAGGATATTCATTCTCGTCATCTCTATATGGATTATTTTTGGAATGCACTGCTTTTGGAGAATGTGAAATTGCACGTTTCAGATATTCGTATATGGCGCGCAATTCGTACGATCCTTCAGGAATCGTAATTTCTTCATCGTTAGCACCATAGTAAAATTTGTTATTCGACGAATTTACGTTTAGTAACGTATTGTATGCTTCGAAATCCGTTAAACCGAGCTCGTAATCACTCAAAATCTATAGCGTAATCGCTCAAATCTATAGCGGGAAAGTAGCTCACCGTAAAGGTGTTATTGTTGCCAGTCAACGTAAGCGTTAGCGACATGTTTGCAAACTGTCGAACGAATACTGTCTGCTGTTAGTGGAATGTCATCATCATCATTTAAATTGATCCTCTACCGTTTGGAGAAACTGCAAGCACAATTGTCCGCAAATGCTCTGATTGTAATGTTGATATGATGTGCGATTGTACAAAATTTTCACTACATCTCTCTCAAGGTATCGAATCAATTCCTTGGGCAGTCGAAGATTACCAAAACTGTCAAAATATACTGCGCGATTTCCTCTTTTCACATACGCCACCCAGTGAGTACCTGGTCCCTCTGTGTTGTCTAAATTTACAATACCGCTCTCGTTTTGACGTACTCCATCTATTGGTAAAGCGTCACGCATGAAAACACCTCGAAAGAAAGGTATATGCATACGCCTCGCTAGTCTTTCCAATTGTACATTAGTCATTGCACCCGTGGGTAATTTTAGCGTTTTTTTTATGTTTTTTTTCTGCAGCGCCTTTCCCGCGCTTGTACGGAGCAAGATAGATTCCGCGACCTTTCGTTGCGCGACCTTCCATTGCGCGATGATGACGTTTTAATTCTTCCAGCTGGCGTTGCGCGGCTTTGCCATCATTCACCGCTTTTGCGACACCCACCGCTCCACCGACTAGTGAACCGAGAACTCCCAGTAATGGTAGAACTGGTAAAATATCACCCCGTTTTGCTACTGGAAGTGCTCGTTTTCGGATTTCTTTCTTGGACGACTTCTTTTTCTTCGTGCCCATGCCCATGCCGATTTTCGTTTTGGCTTTCATAGCAGCCCAAACGACTGCAGCAGCAGCTTTCTCGCCTAAAGTTGATTCTTTCGAAGTTATGCGTTTCCGCGCTTTCGCAGCGAGAATCTCATCCGCCGCGTGCTGATCAGTGAGATTGTTGCTACGCGAATAGGCTATATCGTGCTCACGACACGCCGCGTCCAATGAATTAATGCCTTGGTCACCTCTGACCAATCGTTTTACCAAGCGAGTTCCAGGACCACAAAATTGATATCCGGGAATGTGTAGTTCGATAGGAAGCGCATTTATCGCGCGATTCAATAGACCACTGCCGATTTTGACTTTTGTCGACGACATTCACTACAGTCCCTGATCAGCGGTGCTGGACCGTCAATATGTGTTTGCTGCCACGGACGATTGTAATGTTCCAAACACCGACGATACTGCTGAACCTCTGGATCGACTCTTAAATGTTCCGGGAGTCTATCCTGCAAATTGTTAATATACTTTGCAAATTCGCGTTTGATAGAACAATCTTCGGTATATATTTCAGTTGGTCGGAGGTTAGCTCTCGAATATCATGGGTATCTGTCAACAGGAGGAATATTTTCTAAACTGAGTGTTTCCAAGATTGACGCGCTTATATATATAGTTAAATCAGCGTCACATTTAAATTATTTTGCGACTCACGGGGGAAACATGCGGTTCGTGAAGCAACCAACGTCGATATGCGTGCCAAATTTCGACAATAGAATCAATGCTTGAGCAAGAGGCGCGCAGGCATGGAAATATGCTTCCGAACACCATACGTGGCATCATATGTGGTCCCTCGAATTGCGGCAAGACAAACATTCTCATCAGCTTGTTGGAAAGTCCGCACGGTCTACGTTTCGAGAACTTGTACGTGTACTCGAAATCGTTGCAACAACCTAAATATTGCTACTTGGAAAATCTGCTGAAATCGATAGATGAAATTGGATACTTTACATTCTCCAATAACAGTGATATGATTCCAACGACCGAAGCGCCCAAAAATTCCATTTTTATCTTTGATGACGTTGCATGTGACAAAAAAGATACGATAAGAGAATACTTTGCAATGGGTCGTCATTCGAGCGTTGACTATTTCTATCTCTATCAAACGTACGCAAAAATACCCAAGCATCTTATACGGGACAATGCAAACCTTCTGATTCTCTTTAAACTGGATGGTACCAACTTGAAACATGTGTACAACGATCATGTGAACACTGACATGTCATATGAGGATTTCAGTACATTGTGTTGCAAATGTTGGGAGGATAAATATGGTTTCACAGTGATTGATAAGGATAGCTCAATGACTGACGGACAATACAGAAAAGGATTTAACGACTTTGCTGTGCTGTGAGATGTACAATCGTCATTTTAATCTCAACGTGGTAACATCTTCAAATTCCACGAGACAAATATATCAATGATGAATAGTAGCGTGAAAATCATGGATCGTGAAAAGGAAGCGGAAGAGATTGCGAAAACGAGCGAGTCGATCCGCAAGAAGTATCGCGCTTTGAAAACCGGTAGAATGGTGGAAAATGCTGCATTGGAGAGACGCTTTAAACCTATTATTGAACCTCTCAAGCAAATCGCGGGAAGCAGCGCTAATGTGGAAAGTAACGTTGATGTTAAAACTGATCCACTATCAATGAGTACAAGCGAAGAAACAAAGAGTGTAATATTAAAACCCGAAAAAAAGATAAAGCGTAAGGCAAAACTTTCACCAGTCGCATTGACTACACCGAAACGGAAACTATTAAACGATCCTCTGATAGTTCCTACATCGACGTGTTACGTCCTGTAGATTTAATTAGCAAAAATTCTTTCCCTTCGCGGATTTATATTCTCCTAATATAACTATAATAGGAATATATACATATATAAATATAAATTAGGAAACAGACCCATCTGGCGAACAGCCGTCGCGCCAAATGAAAGGCGATTCGGGAAAATTCCATAACAGGAAACAGTGCCCTGTTGTAAAAACCTATACCTGGGTAGTATTCGCCAAGTGTGTCCGTCGTCCCAGCTATAAAAACTTGAAACTCCGCGCTAATAAACCTTCAGTGAAACAAAGCAACTCAGAGCATTCCTGCTCTAAAACTTGAAACTCACATCTTCCCAATCCAAAACCATATGTGCCCAATCAGTCAACCAACAAAGCCTACTTCACTGATAGTCGTAAAATCTGATCCCAGCCTTTGATTTACGGCATTTTGATTTTTCCAGCCGTCCACTTGTATACATTTCTCTATCTCAAGAACCCACCACCTCTACGCTTGTCGCGCCTAACTCATTCAGCCAATCATATATCCACCTAAAACTATGAGACACTCACGCTCCACCCTTTAGCCCTTCCATATTCATATCTCCAAAAACTAACTGTCTCCTCCCACGATGTCTTTTAACTTTGCTAATGGCTGAGACTTTCTCCCACTAAGACCAATTCACCCCTTCCTCAAAGGCCATCTCTCTACCCACCCTGATAGCTTCTGCCTCCGATTATCACTATAAAAACCGCGGTAATCCGCCTCCGCGGGCACTGCTACTTCTACTTCTACCGTTGCTACTACTCTGAGAGACAGAAGAACACGGAAACGAGAAAGCTCAAACTCGCACTCTCACGCAGATATTCAAAACTCAGTTCATTCAAATATTTAGTATTCAAATATTCAAGCATTCGGATTTTGGGAAAAGTGCGGGCTTCCTCTTTATATAAGTGAACGACTATTTGGTGCCTCAATCAGAATACGAATATTAGAAACGAGAGCACCTACGCAGATCTACGCCATTCTCACTTCTGCTTGTGTCAACTCATCCCGAATCAGCAGTAAGTTCTGTTTTTATATATATACTCTTATTTATTGGTTCCACCTGTTTATTGAATACATTTTAGTGGGTCATTATTGTCGTTCTGTGGTATCCATCCAACAAGTCCTTCATTTCTTTGAGACGGTGTACGAGATTAGGGATCTATATGAGTTTGAACACCAACTGCAATATCTCCGTTCCATCATAAATATTACATTTGAAACAGATTTTCACCCAGACCCGACACTCCTACCCCCTTTTCTACTCCGACGTCTACCTATTAGTACTCCGCCTTCTTCTCCTACACACGCGTCCCCGCCTTCAACCCCTTCGATATCTTATTCACCAGTTTCCTTCTCCGAACTATCCACTCCCTTAAATTCACCCGACCACTCACGCTCCCCCTCACCCGACTAATTCTTTACTCATATTCCTACCTTTTTTTTTATTCCTCCTTTCTTCCACTTCTCATACATACACACATACACATACACAGACATTCTTCAACTGTATTAAACCGCGCCGTGATTCATTTTGTTATAATAGTCATTTTAATAAATCTGTTTATATTTCATTCTTTTTCCAATTAATTTCAAAATCACATATACCCTTCCAACAGTCAACTCATGGTCCTATCCCCGGTAAAGGGATTCGCGTCCCTGACCGAAAAAACGGACCGCTCGTCGTACGTCGGTGCCCGAGTAAAGGGACCCGTCGGGTCCCTGACCCGTTCACTGACACGCGTGTACGAACGAGGTTCGCCTTACTCGCGAACGAAAGGGTTGCGTTCCTCCTCTAGGACGTAACAGACGGAAGCTCTACAACATGAGGAACTACATGGAATGTCGCATGAACTTTCACCGATCGACAATCTACTCACTGATGATGATGATGATGAGAATGTTTCCGAAACCCCCGATAAACCGGTAATGACATCCGTTAGACGTCAGTTGCGAACGTACAAAGGACAACAAACTTTACGTGATCATTTTGGTCCGTTGGGTAAAAAATATATGGGAGCTGTGCTAAGCAGTGGAAAAGATAACACTATAGATTATGTTTACGGCGTACGTCTTAGTAACGATGGAGCGATGCTCATTGATGAACGTATCGATGTGGACAGAGACGATAATATAATCATAAGCGAAACAGGATACATTGGAACACCCGGTCTTTACGAGCTAATATTCAAAAGAATCCCCGACAATTCTGTGTACACCGAAGCTGATATGCAAAAATACAAAAATATACTATTGGTACAAATACTCACAGACGCGGGTACTTCCCGCAAAATCCTATACTCGGTAACAAGGGACACAAATTGTTTCGTCGCCGAATAGCGCGAGGTCGATCGCGCCGCGACTTGCCGGTATCGCCCAGCGTTGGGCAACGAGGTCGGTGGAATCGAGGCTTCAATGCCGCGGAGGAAGCTGGATGGACGGGCGAGGTTCAGAATAACCGTCGTTGGTCAGATTGAATTTAGCCGACGTTTAATCGAACGATCAATTTACACAATAAAACAAACAAAAAAAAGAGAAGATCTAAGAGACCCGAAAGGAATATCGCGCGCAAAATGCAAGACCAACGCAGGGATCGGCTTTGCTCCGTGAGCAACGCAAGTCGCAATCGCTAGTAAAGATTCGAGAGAGGACCGGACCGAGAGATCAGGCGTCGAGAAAGAATTGAAGCGAAAAAGCCCCGAAATCGTGGTTTCCATAGTAATATATATCTATCGCTCCTCTCCCTCTCACCGCCAAGGTCTCGTTCGGTCTAGGCACGAGCTTGGATGTCGAAATTCCAGATGATTCCGTCATTTCGTGACTTTGCTGAGATCAACAGTGTTCCAAAGACAATAGAGCGATCGAACGAATTCGGACGTAAGGTTTCGGCTGTTTATTTTTGCTTTATCGAGGCGTCTTCTGCTGGTTATCCCAAAACATCAACACGGCAGCGATACGAAATTATTCGTTGAACGTCGTTTGCCTTTTTTCTTCTTTGTTTGTCATACGTCCAAGCGGACTTGCGAACACAAATATAAACATATAATCGCACCCCTAGTATCAGATGTGTCGAGCAATAAAGTAGGAGGAAAAGGTTTATACGTATCGCAAGCTATGATGACCTTAAATGACAACAATATCGATTACGTGCATTGGGATGATCCCAACGAGCTGGTGAATCGTCTGCGATTGCTTGACGCTTCGCGCCAAGCTGGCAACAACTCGCACAAGCACGAAATTTTATCGATTATCGAAGAACTCCGTGAAGTTGGTCTCATTATAAATTAAGCAGCGTGGCATTGACACAAGTCAGTCAGTCGGTACAACTTGTTCCGAAATGTCGATGAATAAGTTTGGAGTGTTACGAGAAAACAATGGTGCGAAAACTGATCGAGCGCATCAATGGAATGAACATGTTGGAAATTACATACATGAAAATGCCCTTTGTTTGAACGCGGCCAAAGTTTTTGGTGCAAAATCGCGCAAGATAAAACATGTAACGCAGCCTGAAGCGGACAGTGACGTTGCAACCAAACAATACGTGGAAGAATGTGTTGCAGGTGTGAGAAATCATTTGAATGATGTTGCAACCAAACGATACGTACATGAAAATGCCCTTTATCTAACCACCGATGGTAAAGGTTTTGACGCAACAGGGCACGCGATACATCATGTAACGCGGCCGAGAGCCTTCAATGATGTTGCGCACAAAAATTTTGTGGATGAGAATATAAAGTCTGTAAAACTTCTGCTGCATGAGAGTAACGTTGAGAAGAAGCAGTATATAGATGAGAATATAAATTCTGTAAAGCTTCTACTGCATGAGAGTAATGTTGAGACGAAGCAGTATGTAGATGAGAATGTTAAAAAATTGAAGGATTGGCTGGAAGACTACCAGAAGAAAAACATACTGAGCATAAATAGCATTCATGAGAACACAGAACGAATTTTAGACTGGACAGATTCAGAGCTAAAGAAATCGTCGAAAATATAAAAGTAGAATATTGCAGTTGAATCGACATATAGTATCGACATAAGCAAGAGACAGATCATCACGAGCTGCAATGGTGAAGCAATCGTCAAAATTTAACAAAAAGAAGAAAAGTTCAGAGAAGCAACTCATCGGTACTATTTCAGCTGTTTCTGCCGGTGTAAAGCGACAAAGCTTCACGCATGATGGGAAAACGACTCGGCAAGTAACGGGGAAAAATAATGAGAAGAAACATTCCGAATAAGAACAACTAGTGAAAGAATTACACGCTCCAGCGAGACGAAATTTTCCTCGCAGACGCGTCATAGTGCGTGGATACGACGACCTTTGGCAGGCCGATGTGGTGGAAATGCGTTCTTACTCGCGATTCAATGGAGGCCACCACTACATATTCACCATTATCGATGTACTGAGCAAGCACGCATGGGCCGTTCCGTTAAAGTGCAAAAGCAGAAAGGAGATAGCCGAGGCAATCGCATAGATAATTTGAACGGATGGAAGATGTCCGAAGAACTTGCAAACTGATCAGGGAAAGGAGTTTTACAATACAGAGTTGCAGAGACTTGTGAAGAAACACGGTGTCAATCATTATTCGATTTACTCAGTAATGAAGGCATCTGTTGTGGAGCGATTTAACCGCATGTTAAAGAACAACATGTGGAAAATGTTTACGTTCAACGGAACTTACAAATGGATCGACTTGTTACCGCGCCTCATCGCTGAATACAACACGCGAAAACATCGAACTATCGGCATGCGTCCTATCGATGTGACTCCTACGATTGCTAATAAGCTCTTGAACACAGTCTATAGTATTGGGTGAGTGCAAAAGTTCGTGCGGAGTTTGTGAGTAAAAGTCACACAGTGATTAGGCAAACAAAAATCTTTATTCAATCAATGATATATTCTCCATCGTTTTCTATAATCTTTTCCCAACGTTCTGGCAGCATACGGATGCCTCGATCATAAAAACTGCGCGGTTTAGATTCGAAGAACGAAGAGACGCCGTTTTTTAAGGCCTCCAAAGAGTCAAAGTTTTTTCCATTTAAATAATTTTGCAATGACCGGAACAAGTGATAGTCAGATGGTGCGATATCAGGAGAATACGGTGGATGCGTTAAGACATCCCATTTCAGGCTCTTCAGTTTGCGCAGCGTCTTTTTCGAAACGTGTAGTCCGGCGTTGTCGTGATGAAAGACGACTCCCTTGCGATTTGACAAAATCGGATGTTTCTCTTTTATTTCTCGATTCAGATTGGTTAATTGGCGACAGTACTTGTCCGAATCAATCGTTTCGCCAGCGGAGAGAAGCTCGAAATAGATTATGCCCTTGCAATCCCACCAAACAGAGAGCATCACCTTCATCGGGTGCAAACTGGCCTTTGGCATTGCGTCACCATGCTCACCTGATTGTTTCCATGTCCGTTTGCGCTGAACATTGTTGTAGAGGACCCATTTCTCATCGCCCGTCACTAGTCGATCCAAAAACGACTCGTTATTGAGCCGCCCGAGTAAAGAAACGGCAGCAGAAATTCGCTTGATTTTGTTCTTCTCGGTCAGCAAATAGGGCATATATCAAGCTTCAAATCGAATCCCATCTTTTTTAAACGCCGAAAAGCGGTTGATCGGTCAACGTTTAGTGCTGTAGCAACTTCTTCTGTTGAAATTCGCGGATTATTGAGCACTAAAGTACGCAAAACATCGTCATCAATGTCAGAAAGTCGACCAGAGCGTGGCTCGTTTTCAAGGTTAAATTCTCCGCGCCGAAATTTAGCAAACCATTTTTCCACAGTTCGTTTAGCTGGTGCTTCATCCTGATAAACATCCTAAATGTTTTTTACGGCTGCGGCAACGTTTATTCCCTTCCGAAACTCGTAAAGCATAACATGCCGTAAATGCACCTTATCGATACTCATTTTTAAAGTGATATTTCTCGAAGCAATTTGTATGAAAACAAATGATTTTTTTTTTAATAACAGCTGAAGACGTCACCTTTCCAACGTTATATAATATGTAGATGGAAGTATTAATGACAACACTTTACGACCCTTATAACTCCATCTATTGAAACTCCGCACGAACTTTTGCACTCACCCAATAACATAAAGATTGCAGCGCCTGCGAAATTCAAAGTGAGTGATCTGGTACGCGTCAGCAAATTCAAAACTATCTTTGAAAAATGCTATACACCGAATTGGACAACCGAAGTGTTTAAAATCGTCAAAGTGCAGACAACTAATCCTGCAACTTACTCAATCCTGCAACCTACTCGCAGACTCGCGCGGGAAACCTATCGCCGGCGGTTTCTACGAACACGAACTACATAGTGTCACCAATCCAGATGTATACTTAGTAGAAAAGGTGTTGCGCAGGCAAGGCGACAAAGCATATGTAAAATGGTTGGGATTCGACAATTCGCATAATTCATGGATACAAAAGGATAATGTATTGTAAAAGAAATGAATACAATTTTGTTAGAACATTCGATGACATATTTGATTGTAAAATAGCTAATAAAACAGATAAACGTTATAATACTATACTATAACGTCCTCATGGTAATGTATTTATCGAATCAGGCATAATAAATCGCTTATCATCGTATGTACTGAGAGCAGTTTTTGTTTCGAATACCGTGTATACCTCATGCAACTTGGATCTTATGTACGATTGACGCCGACTCGTTTCAATTTCCTCTCTCGTCGACGATGCGAACTCGTTACGCTCGCGCGACGAGCGTTGCGGATCGCGACAACGCGATCGCGACGGCGATACCGCCGTCGTCCATAGAATCGCTCGGGTGCGTGGCGTGTCGAACGACGCCTCGAGAAAGCGAACCTGCGACGAACACGGAGCCTGTCGCGACGACGCGACGCGCAACCACCGGCGACGTAGCGATCGCTCCGCCCTACGAGTACTGCAGCGTCGCCATGTACAATCAACTGCGCTTCGGCAACGACGTGGACAAGATATTGACCGACAAAGGCGGCACCGTCAAGAATATTCTACACTCCAGCAAGAGCTTCGTCCATTATCTCGTTACGTATCCACTGAGGAATACGTTTCGCGGTTACATCCAGATTTCGCCGTATCTGGCACCGCGGCACATAGCGCTGCCGTTTCATCACGCGGTCAGACTGTTCTCGATCGACGTGGAGCGCGATCGACGACATTTGCGATTTCGCCGCGAATCGAACGATCGTTCGCGCGCGACCACCAACGGCGCAGTCGATGGCGAGTTCGACGTCGCTGACGACGAGATCTGGCCGGACGCGAGATGCGCGTTCCGCTTCGACGTTGCTCCAAATTTCGGTCTCGTGCTGAGACGCGACCCTTGCATACACAACGGCAGTGTGGTCGGCGTCGAGCGAGTGTACGTCTACAAGCGCGGATTGGAACACAACGACTCCGTTCACATATCGCCGTTCGTGCTGAAGCATCTGGACGCCGATTTCGACGGCGACGCCGTTACGATCATGATCCTGAGAGGCATCGAGTCGGCGTACGATTCGCGATGATGTCTGCGCGATCCGTTTCTCTTCGGTGACATTCCGCGATTCACGTTTTGCCAAAGCATGCACTTTTGGACGTTTCGCGTGTTGGCGTTCCACGACGCGCGCGACGAAACGCGCGCCGTGGTCGAATTCGCGACCGAACGAGTCTCGCGCGGACGAACATTCGATCGCGGCGCGGACGATGTATCGCCGTGCGAAACGAGCTCCCTGTTGCACGTGAGACTGAACATTCGGCGTTCGCGCGCCGCTCGACGACGGGCTCGCGCTCTCTTCGGTCCGTGGTACGACGATTACGCGCACGTACTGTCGGATATCTGGCGACGACGACCTATCGACGAAGAAGCGAGGAAACACGACGCGAGGAACACTCGCGACTGCGAAAGCACCAAAGAATGGTGGTGCGAATCCGTGTGGTGACAATGTCCCGTGCTGGATCTGGTCTTCGTGCGCGCGGTTCGCACACGCGGCAGCGACGACGGCGAGGCCTTTATTCAACGAGTGAGACACGTTTTGTTCCGACGCTCGATCGATGCGCCCGATCGAGCGATCGTTATCTTGGACAAAAACGCTCTTTGTCTGGAGAACTGGCTCGTCGTTCACTCGGGTGCAAAGGGCACTCCGCAGGATCTCGTGACACTGCACGAGCGCACCGCGGCCAACGTGGCACAGGCGGCCGCGCCGCAGTCGGACTTCTTTCGCGAATGCTCGCCCGACCAGGAAGCCGCGTATCTGCGATACCTCGACGATTTTGTGATCATGAGCAAACACGTGCCCAAGAGCTCGTACTTCGCGAGCGGCCTAAAATGGGCGACGCAGATGTGCACCGTAGCGCACGGTGACCTGTACATGCGAGATTCGTTGTTACTGCGCGATATGGCATATTATCTGAAAGGCACCGTCGACGCGCCCGCCTCGTCGACGGCGTTCGACGACGAGTCGCGAGATCAGAAACGAGGTGAATGAAATAAAACGTAAACGAGGAAAAAAAATAGTCTCTTTATTTCTCGTTCCACGACAATCACCTTCTCCCGCGCGACGACGATCCAGTCCTCTCCTCCGAATCTTCTCGTTTCGTCCGCGGCATCGCTCGATCGGGCGAGTACGGAACGCTCGGTACGCTCCAGATTTCGAATGAATCGTACGAACTCGACTCGTTGATCGAGAATCACGATAATCTCAAGTGTTGCTCAACGTGTTCGAAATCAGTTCGACGACGTCCCGTGGTTCAGCGAACACGCTCGATCGAGAATATTTCTTGTCGGCCGTGAATGCCTTGGCGTCTCTCAGCGAATCGCGAATCAAACGTCTGCGCGTGCAATATGGACAAACGAGCTGTCGCTTCGCTCGTTCGAGTCGATACTCAGCCAGCGTTTTCGCTGCGCACGACTCTTGTCATCATCGTCGATGGAATCAACTCCGCATCCTGCCGGTCAATAGCGTTCATCGCGCCTCGTATTTTTTTCCTCTTACATTCTTAGCGCTAATAATGCGGAAAAGGTGATAACGAACGAAAACAGAGATCTATTCAAAGTTCGCTTTATTGTTGGAGAGCATAAAAGACAATTTTTTTATCGCTAGCGATCGTCGCAAGTTAGAACTATGACGATGCTTGTTGCGGTCATACCACATTCACATAGTAACAAAAGCACCGACAAAACGGAGGCAAAATTTGCGCCAACCAGTACATCACGATTTCGGGCGAACCATCGATTCGCGGCACGATCGGTTCTCGCAATCCAAAGTTGCAGAAATGGTTGCGCAGTTTAGCAGCTATTTCGGTTAACGCGCTCATTACATCGTTAATAGCCGAGGTATTTACATCGATTCGTCACGACGAAGGATCCGAACGCATCGTCATGTTAAAATCGAGCGAATTGTTTTCAAATTAACGAGTAGGCGGATGATTACCGTGTCTTTTTCCAGGCAAATGTAGCACGGGAACGATCATTTCCCCTATGACGGCTCGTTTCACATGCGCCGGTGTCAAATGCACATACGAAGAATCGACGGTGTAACGTCGCAAAGTACGCCAACGCCGTGCGCTCACAGCCAACTCGGGAATCACTCGTTCGGCGATACGATCGATCGTGCAATCGAAGCAAAGTTGATGATCGCCGACCGATTCTTCCTCCTCATCATCCGTCTCTGAACGATCGCCGTTGTCCAACACATTATTGTTGATGATAGTGCGCGATACGATCTCACGAAACCACAATGGACCTTTGGACGATGACGCGACGGTATTGTCGTCAAAATCGGAAATAACTTTTATCGTGATACGAAAGTGATCGCACAGCATCGGCATGATTCGTATGAGCCAGTACACCACCTCGCACCATCATTCACAATTCGACACGTTGACGGAACTCCAACGACTCGAATAGCAGCATCGGTCTTCAGCGAATATATCCATCAAAGCGTTGATTACTAAACGCGTCAATTCGAGATCGCATCTTCTTGTCGTTGAGTCGTCGTTGCTACAATCGTCATCGTTGTTCCTCGCTGCCTCGTAGTCTTCGTGAAACACAACGGATGGACGCAATATCACGTCTCGGTAACAAAGCCACGAATATCGCCGTTTCTTTTCGATATCGTTGCAATGTAGTCGCGAGCAAACGATCGGCCAGCGTTTCACCTATCTGACGCGGACGATAAAACGATAAAACCGCCGGAATGATTTCGCCGTGACGACTCGAAGTGACAACAGTATCGATGTGTCGTGCGACATCAGCCAACGTATTGCGCACAAAATAACGTCGTACGCAATACGGATAATTTGTCTTGGTGTACATATCGTCACGGCGTGGTATTAACGATATGTCGTACGAATCGTATGTGCGTGTTCACTCGCCGAATCAACCACTATTTATTCAAAATGTACATCGTCGAAGATAGATAGTAGGGTAGACAGCAACGAATCGCAAATCGAGATTCGTCATCTCGCATTATTGTTGATGACCCCGACGACGACCGACTCGTCCACGAGATCGCTCGTATTCTCTTCTTCGATCAGTATCTGCTTCGTAGCGCCGTTGTCGCTATCGCTGTTCGTCGAGCCACCGTCACCATCCAATCGGACCACCGGTTACGTCGGTGCTTTTGGTCGAATCGGTGTAACGATGGGCGACGCAGATGTGCGCCGTAGCACACGATGACCTATACATGCGAGATTCGTCGTTACCGCGCGATGTGGTGTATTACCCGAAAGGCACCGTCGACGCGCCCGTCTCGTCGACGGCGTTCGACGACGAGTTGCGAGATCGGAAACGAGATGAATGCAAAACGAGGACAAAAAAACAATCTCTTTACTTTTCGTTCCTCGACAATCCTCTTCTCCCGCGCGACGACGATCCAGTCCTCTCCACCGAATCGCCTCGTTTCGTTTCGTCGCGGCATCGCTCAATCGGGCGAGTACGGAACGCTTGGTGCGCTCCAGATTTCGAATGAATAGTATGAACTCGACTCGTTGATCCATCGGCGCGATCTCGAACAGATCGCAATAGCGACGAACGTCCGGCAGCATCGGATGCAGCAGACGCAACTGTCGATGTATCTCGATCTCACCATTGCACCGACGACGTGCTACCGGCGAGGACGTTGCGTGCGAATTGGAGTATTTCGTCAATTTGTCGTACCAACGATCGTCGCTATGCGTCGTTTTCGACGAGATCCGATCCAACGGCGCGCCGTTCGTTCGCTCGTCGCGGTCCGCATCGACGAGAGGTTCGTCGTACCACGTGGAGACGGTGAACACGTAGGATTCAGCCATCTCCCTCGGTGCGCCCTCGGTCGTTTCTCTCTCTATCTCGATTCGAGCGTGACGTCGAATCGCGAGCGACGGTATATATATACGCGACGACACGTTCGAACCGAGCGTTGTCGGAGCACGGTCGAATCTGTCCTCGCGCGACATGTCGACGCCGCGACCGACCGCGCGCT